TGTTAGCAACTGGACAAATTGAATGCAGCGGTCATGGATACAGTAATGTCTCCCTAATTGACGCTCGGATTGTGCCACGAAGATGGACAATTTGGGAACAGGAGATACGATTATACGAGCCTTGCAGCTCGTTTTTATAGTTGTCGACAATTTTCGTAACTATAAAAAGAAACCGCAAGCCTCGAATAATCGTATCTACTCTTCCTGAAATGTCCATCTGCGTGGCACAATCCGAGCGTCAATCAGAGAGACATTACTGTATTTATTGGGTTGGCAACTAAGTAATTGCCGATTCTCTGTTATAGATGTCTCTCACTTCCATTTTTATGATATCCGTAAATGTTATATTATAAAATTATTATTATTATTATTATTATTATGTTATTTTTTATTATCCGTGAATGTTAGCAACTGGACAAATTGAATGCAGCGGTCAAGGAAATGCGACCAGAATTGGTCGATCGTGAAGGTGTCATTTTCCAGCAGGACAATGCTAGGCCGCACACGTCTTTGTCCACTCGGCAAAAATTGATGGATATTGGTTGGGAATTGATGTTACACCCACCATATAGCCCTGATCTCGCGTCATCGGATTACCACTTATTTCGATCCCTGGACAACTCCCTTCGTGGTAAAACTTTTAACGACGACGACGCTGTAAAATCTCACTTAACTCAGTTTTTGGCCGAAAAGGATCAGACTTTCTACGAGCGTGGAATCTTCAAGTTGTCAGAAAGACGGCGAAAGGTCATCGAACAAAATGGAAAATACATTACAGATTAAACTTCCTTTCAAGTAAAAAGTAATTTTTTATTTCATTGAACAAATCGGCAATTACTTAGTTGCCAACCCAATACCTATACTCGTCATAGACAGTTGCTTTTGTCGCATTTTATTCCGTGCTGGCGCAGCATTTTCGCGGAACAGTATACGTACAACCCGAAAAAGAAAACACACCGATATTTGTACACTGGTTTTCTGTTGCACTTGTATCAATCGATTACAGGGTAATCGAGCAAGCAACCTTGCAGGCAAGCAACGCGTTCGTTGCACCATATACAAAATACGGGCCTCGGTTCGACTTGGAAATGGGTCGCCGTGCTGCACACTTGTCCCGCAAACAATCAACACATGGGGTTCCGTCTGCAAGACATACTACACTCTACGCGTGCCATAGCGACGCGTGACGTCACGCATCTATGTACCTGCTCAGCCTCACACGTGCAACATTTTCCGGCTGCAGTGACTCACGTATTTGTCCACGGAAATCAGTCACGTTTGCCTGTTCGAATTCCGCATGCGGAAAATTCCCAAACTCAACGTTTCAATCGAGACAAGCTGATCACATAATTATTCCACTGGATTTCACAACGTATCTTTTTCTCTAGCATGAAAACTCCCATTCAGTTGTTATATTAATTTTTACCGATAAATTTTGAAAGTTAATTTTCAAAATATTATGTATACACTTTTCCTCTTTTTCGAATCGTGCATGCTTCGAATATTCCCAAAATACAACCGTGAAACAGGAAATCGAATTGTTCCATACGTCGGGTTCAACCAAAACCGAAATTTTCCTACCGTACTGAATCGGAATCGCGTTATGTATTCTTGCCTCGGCTGCCACCGATTTACTAACACGTTATAAATTATTAAGGTGATATCTCTTTAACGTAAGGTAATCGTCTAAAGTAACTTGTATATAAGAACTTTGTTGTGGCAGTGCGCGTATAAATACTCGCAACTAGAATATTTTCACAGCTGTGTTAACATTTCGTTTCGTTGGTTACACCTGTTACCATCGATTTGTTTATGTGTGTGTAGCCTCACTTTTTCTTATTCGTCATAATAAATCAAGCTAACGGTGGAGCATGAGAACTGATTTTTTTTCCATTGGAATTTCGGGAACAGCATTCGATACCGCCGGTAAAATCGCAAATCCCGAATCGAAAGCTCGAGAAAATAAATAAGACAAAAATCTGACGATTGACCCAACTTGTGCTTTTCAATTTTCTCTTCGACAATGCAGTGTCATCTTTTCTCCCTTTAGGTCCAGCCTTTAGTCACACCATCGAACACCGCACCGATGTTTGCCAACGGCCTATTGTGTTCCGCTTTTGTTTATGTCTCGGTTGCGCTCGAGAAACGGCCGATCAAAATAAATCCAACGATCCGCAAGATTGCATAATGGAATCAAAGAATCGGAAATCGAGGGAATGTTTCGGTAAACGATCGATTAAACGTAATTTGAGTAACACAACTGACGCGCGGGGCCCTCGATGCGGTATCAACTCGTATAGGTATGTGTGTACATATACAGATGCAGACGCACTCGTATGTGGGTCGCAAGAACCTGCATTCCTCCAACCTTTGTCAAGATAAATTGAAATACTTCGATGATTTTCGAAATGTCTTTCCCTGCTCCCCGCGGCGGACAGTTGAAAGATCGTAGCTCTCGATTCGATGATAATCGATTCAACTATAATATATATAATATAATATAATATAATATATATTATATATATTATTATTATATATATATATATAATAATAATATAATATAATATATATAATTGTAATATATAATATAATATATTATAATCATATAATTATAATATGGTCGGGGACCATAATACTCTTGCAATTACCATTCGATCATCGAGCAATTTGCGTTCAAGAAAAAGCGCTTTCGACGTTTCTATTCCCGCTTCGCGAACGATCTCGAAGTCGAAACGACAAGGCGCACCGGGCACCTGTATCGATTAATTCGTTTCTTCGATATCATCGATCCAACAAATACACCGTTCAACAAAGAAAGCAAAGCCAAATAATCAATTCACGCGATTAGAACCTACCTGACAATCGGTGTTCATGCTTCGCTTACGAGCAGTTGTCTCTCGTTCTTAGTCGGGTTGCGCAGCTCTTGGGCCCGATTGAATCGCAAGCGTGGTTACTGCGGTACACCATGGGAAAAGCTGTTACGTTTCTGTCAAGGTAGTATCCTTGTCATTTCCTGTCTTTTTAACTGACGGGAATGCAGAGCGAAATTCGATACGCCCCCGAGCTTTCGTGACGGATGATCAAATGCTGCTGTTTCGTCGAAAAATGTACTGCTGCAGTTCTACACGTTCGACGGAGCATACGGTTTACGCATACTCGAGAGATCACGTCGCGTGTTTATGGTTCTGTCACGGAGAGGAACGACGATTTTTAATTTTTTTTTTTTTTGGAAAGGTTCACGGACGATTCTTCCAGCGAAATGTCTTTGCGAATCGCAGCTCGAACAAACGAGAGATCACGGATCCCCCATGACGCGCGGCCGCCGATTCTACACGAATTCTCATGGTATCCGCGCGTTATCACGGGGAACCCGGCCGTGGTTTCGTTTCACTTGGACATCACTGGGCTTCGGCTCCGGAGACTCTTGTTCCGCAGCACTTCGATCGTTCGGCGAACGTATTTTTAGCAATCAGCCTGGCGCTGCTCGAGATAATTGCCGCACGACGACGTTCGCACATTTTTTTCTGAAAGTTATTCCGCGGGTGCTACACGGTAACGATCCGTCGCGGTTCGTCGACTTTTTCCCCGGTCGCGTCGTTCGCGTTGTCCTGTCGTCGTTGGTACCGAAGAATGAAAAGAAAAAGAAATATGCAGAGATCCTAACCCACCGTCTCTAATGGTTACGTTCGTCGACAAATAGACATGACGGCGAGTCTCCTCCGTCGGCCGACAATGAACTAGCGTACTCGTCGCATCCCCCCTCTTCTCTAGCCCCTACCCTTGTGATATTCGACTATGTTCGCATAGCATTTGCCCCGCCTCCCCACGCCGTATCACCTATCTCGTTTCAGCTGGCACAGCAGCCGACGATGTCACTGGTCTTTATGTACGCGCATGTCTCGATGCACACCGTATATGCATAATGTATGTACATATCAAATCACGCGGGAGAATCTTATCGAAAACCGCAAAGAATCTTTCCGGTCGATCCTTGAAAATGTTTACTTTCTTTGTAATTTACGTACGTTCAGCTATAAGAGATATAGCTTTACGTAAGAAACAACCATAATTATGTGTATTACGTTTTATTCGATTCTCCTATTATATTCAAGATAATAGGAGAACGAAGCAATTTAACCGGTAAGAAACTTCGGCATGATTCCGACGGTAGCGATAAAGAAAACTTTTTTTCTTTTCGAATATTACGGTGTTGCGCGAAACACGTTACAAGTTTCACGCGATTCGAAAAAAGAAAGCATCAAATTCGAACGACGGATTTGCCAGGAAATGAACGACTCCTGGCGTAGGCTTCCCTCGGTGCAGCTATGCGAAACTGGAGAACCGTCGCACGAAGCTAGTCTGCGGTCGTATTAGTTTACAATTAGTGTTGTCGCGGAGACAGCGACGCAATCATTGAATACATTCGAATAATCATCAACGATTCGATTGCTAATATTTCCTTCGGAAATTGATACTATTTTTAAAAATATGATTTTGTCTTAATAGATGTGATCATTCGATAACCCCGCACGAGACGTATACTTTTCGATTCCGACGCTCGTTCTCTCTGTCTCTCCCTCCCTTTCTCTCTGCCTCTCTTTTTCTTTCTGTCTCACGATCAACCCTCGTCTCGTCTTCCGGTGCCCGAAGTATTGATCCAATTGTGTACCATCTACATGCGGCGTACATAACGTTGTAAAGAAGTACTCGAACCCGAACCACACGAAGAATCGAGAGAGAATATATCGCTTGAATTCAAGCTCATAGGTTGCTTTAGGTCGCGTACATTTGTTACAATTAGAACGTGCGATACGATCACTCTCTGTTAAACTCTGTTACCTATAGCTATACGTAACGTGTACGGCGTGAAGCACGTACCGGGAGAGTGCGTACAAGATTTAAATTGTACGATTAGAACATGATTTTTATGGAATTTTGGGTTCTTGTCGTTATGAAGTTCCCCCGTAGTTCCGTCCCTCTGTACAATTTCCGTCGGTGTTTTTATCTTACACAACGCTCCAGTAATGTACGACCTGCTCGGAACGGCACATATAAACCTAACCTTTTTCAAGTACTAAATGCAGGGGGAATACCTGGCAGTTTCTCTCGTAAGATCGGTTTGCCAGTATTTCAATGAAGTTTATAAAGCCGAAGGGTACAATTTAGATAGAAATTTGAAAAAAAATTTTACTACTTCTTATTCAAATAGTGCGCCGAAACGTTCGAAATTGAATGCATTTTCTTTGGAGTCATTACAATTAAACTTCTACTGACATGGTATTTCCAGGAACTGTTTTACGTAACGACAAATACCTGGTCGTTTGAGAATATGATTGAATGAGTCAGCCTTGAAAGATCATGTGACCAGATTAAATGGAGAACGTTATAGTGGCGTGCTACATACCTAGATATTTGTTTATTCAACTCTCAGGCGAAAAAGATAAGAATCTCGGACGACCTTACGGTTCGCAGATAGCCGTTTCTATACCGTCCTTCAAAAAACTGTCGAAACTTTCATGCGAAATGCGATAGAACATATCTTTGTAATCTAATATATGTGCACATTATAATTATGGTTATATATATATATCACGTATCAGCTAAAAATGAACACAAGATACAACGTGCCCTGAGATACGAGTTTTAATTGTTTATATACGTCATATACAACCTTCCATCATTGTAGTTAAAACTTAAGAATAGTATATTTAATAGAGTAATTTTTTTTTAACTAAATATAAATAACGATAAAATTAATAAAAGTGGCAATATAATGATACATATAATAATATTCTGTGGAATGAATGTATGCTTCGATTGCACGTACATATGTACAAATATAAAATATTATTTATTAAAAATGAAAAGTGCTTAGTAACGCCGTTCGTCGTTATGCATCTCGAGGTGCAACAAATTACGACGGCGGTACTCTGTCAGTCTTAAGGTGCACAATGTTGCAATCTCAAAGCAATAAAGTACCCCAATTAAAGCTAGTGTGTTAATCGCACGCCATGATACCGACTTATCTTATCTAACTGCATCATCTCTCAAAAACTCTAGTCTTATCAGTAAAACATGATCCAATATTTGAAACGGAATGGCTTTCGTACGATGGGCCCCTTGCCTTATCGATTTGCAATTTCATTGAAATTTTAGCAACAGATCGATATCAAGGTTAGCCTTTAATTTTAACGCGCGATCAAGGACGTGTTTCTTTCGTCGCTCCTTTGCTTCGTTTCCGAAGTTCGATCTGGTTCGATCACAATTCAACGTTCGATCCACTCCGACGAACGTATCGATTGAAGTAGTCGGGACGCCAACACTTGCAACTGCCTGGCACCAGGAACCAATCGTAGTACAATCTCACCTGAAATATCGACGAGAAAGATGAATTTTCTGAATCGAGCGATTGAAAAATACTTGAAAAATTGTCATGTACCTGAAAACAACCCATCTCGTCGACTCCGTCGCAATGATGTTGCTGGGACCCAGCATTGTTACGAGCTTCATTTTCGCCGGCACGTTTCTGCAAGTATTGCTGATAATTTTGAAAATCGTGAACCGGAGGTGGTGAACCAGCCGGATCCCTGAGTCCGTTCAATCGGGAATTCTGATTCTCGTCTAGGATCGTGTCCGGATAAAAGATTTCCGCCACCAGTAGACTAGTCCATCTCGGCGACGATAGACAACCACCATCCAGGTAGTGGCACCTTGATTGCCTGCGAGAAATACAGCCGAAACATTAGAACATACATCCTCTTCAAGCACATGTAATGAGATTTTGCACAAGCACGAAGAGATGAAAATTTACATGCATCTGGTGACTTCAATTGTCTGCGTGAAATAACCTTCGTATGGTATTTGGACTACGTAACGCCATACTCCTTGGTAATTCTTCGCGAAAACTGGCGTCGCGTATTCCACTTTGGCCGGGCAAGGAGTGGGAGGACCGGTGTACTCTGGTTTCTCCTGTGTTTGCACGCGTTGCCTGTACTCAGGGGTGGAAGGCTCGTCCCGCCGTTCCGCCGCCGAAGTGGCCAGAGGTTCTCCTTGTATGGCCTTGTACAGCATGCAGACCCTTTAACGGAGAATGACAATGTACAGTCGATTGGAAAATCAAACGAATTTGCCTGAAAAACTGATTCCCAATACTTACACTCCTTCTCCATTTTCGCAGAACTTTCGACCATTTCTAGGCGGGTCTAAATTGACTTCCGAATCAGAGGATCTTTTGTTTCTGCTTCGTTTCTCGTCGGTGTCGACGCTACGAATATACGCCATTCATATACTTAATTGTCCGGGTTAATAATTTTTTCATTAACGAGAAAGAAGCAATACTCACGAATTTTGCGAGAAAGATTGAACGGTAGCGACTTTTGGCAGAGAGTCGTCGGCCTTGAGTATGGGCAAAGCTTTGCTAAGAAATCTCAGCGTGTGATTCTTCAATAAAGCACTGTGTGAAAGATTATTATTAATAAATAATTGGTTCTGCAGTTCTGCATCGACGCGTTCTCCATCATACTTACAAGGGGTAGGAGGAGCCATTAAAGTATTGCTTCATAGGATTTCGCGGAATGTAACCTTTGTTGAGATCGCCGCAAATATTGTGTATAGACACGAAACCTTTGCCCTGTTTGCCAGAATCTAAGCGATTGCATAGAGAGACAAAAATAATATTACAACGGATCAGATTTCTATGATCGAAGTGGCGAAGTAATTCAGTGACACGAATTTGAATCGCGTACCGTAACATTCTTTGTCGCTGTCTATATAAGGCGGTGGTCTCACTTTAGGCGGTTCCGCGTTCGGCGACTTGATGAACGCGTAATATCCTTCCGGCGGTTCGTCCGATTCCGTCGAGGAGTCACTGCTGTTCGGTAACTTCGTCTGTTTCGGCTCGTGTTGATCCTCGGCGAACGAAGATGCGCACAGAAGTACCATCTAAACGAATTGTATCTATGATATCGTGGTTCTAGTAGAGTCTAGGTTGTGCTAAAGCATTCTCGCGAACATTGGTGCCCTCTGTGCAAGTACGGCAAAAGATGCATTTCATGTTGGCGCAATCGATAGATGAAACATTCGTCGGAAATCGCCACTTCGAAACTTTTAACAATTTTCGGTAATGTTTTCCTGTCAGATACGAGACGTGGATAAAAATAGATCTACAACACGTATTTCAAGGAGTCCAAAATATCTTTGAAACGATCCTCTATGTATACACAAAGTATGTATGTATCTGTAGTCCTCCCGTCTGACCAACAATTTTGCTCAGCTTGATCTACCGGTATAAACAACACTGCTCTTAAATGTATTAAAACAGCCGGACAGAACTCATTTGTTTCAGTTAACCTAACATATCCACCCGTAGCGTGTACATTCCTTGCATTTCATCGCCATTCTTACTAGGCTATTCCCCGTTAGTAAGATACGTCGTATCGCATTCGGCCTTAACGGTACTCGGTCCACGCTTCGCAGACTATTAATACCCGGGACTATAGTCGCGCACGCTGGACTGCCCCACTAACAATCGGGTCTACCCGCCGTTACATTCTTTTGGCTCCTTGACCGTCAGGAATTTCGAGGATAAGGATCGACCGAGAGTCCTTCACCTGTTAACGCATCAGTCCTTTTTTATGCTGTTGTATAATAGCATAAATTACGAGTCTTTATCTTATCAACATGTTGCAATTAAAATTAGTGTATTTAGTGATATTTAATCTTGAAACAAGCGTGGAACAATTTATTAAATGAATCTGATGATTTGATACTGTTCGGTGAAACCGAATCGGATGTTGTTCCGTTCGTGGATTTATTTTTAAATAAAGTGACTTGGAAATGCGCGAGTCAAGGACCCCCCGGATGAGTTCAATGAAGTAAACCGTTCAAAAAGTATGAAAAGGTTACTTTTCCCGCCATCGCATTTATTACACATTTGCGTAACGGTATTACGTTATACCGGTTTCCCAGCGATTACCTATGAGTGCGGGTCACATTTCTATAATCAGGATTGACCAGCACAGGAACAACAAGTTTATTAACCTTCTCCTTGCAGCTTCTTCGGTCACGATGCGCGCGCTTTCACGTTCAACTTCGAATACAATGACGGATACAAGAACGATATTCGTCGATGTAGAAACTTATTTAATCGTACCATAGCGTTTGGTGAAGCGCGATCGTCGAAACGTGTGATATCAGGGATGGATTTATTCGGATCGTATTGTTGCTGTTTCTTTGAATAGTCGAGCAGTTGTTTCATAGATGCTGACAAATTAGAAAGAACTCTGCTTGAAATGAAAGTTTTCAAAGTTCGACATATATCAGGCAAAAGTGGGACGGTTTTGTTCGGCGAAGTTTAATAAAAACAAAAATTATTCGACTTACAACAAACGTGCGGAAGTCCATCGTGTTATCCTTTGTATATTCTCGGATACCGTGGCGGAATGTAAAGTTGAACGTTGAAAGTCTGTGTCAAGGTATTTCGTGACCAGTCGGCGGTCATAGCAAAACTGAACACATTAAACCCGTGGTATGGTATAAGGAGCTGTTCCTGCCTTGAGTCCCGTACTCATCACCACCAAAGGTACAAGCGAGCCATCCCATCTCCCACCTCGAAGCGTGCGGTTACCATTCCACCCAAACCATTCTGGGACTCTAACGTTCCTAAAATTTTTCATTGCTGGTCTGCCTTTGTTATGCAATTTATATTATTATTATATTATTATTATATATATTATTATATTATATTATTATTATATTATATTATTATTATATTATATTTTTATTACATTATATTATTATTACATTATATTATTATTATATTATTATTATATTATTATTTATATTTTCTGACATAATGCCCGACCGTTCTAGTTTTTCAATACGAACGCGATAATACGTTAACCCGTAACGATGCGTAAGCCTATTTGAAAATGAACTTTAATTTACATTAGAAAAAAGACGATAATTAACCCGTGCGTGCCACGCAATCGTTGTGCCAATGTGCGCGCAACGATACGAAGAAGACAAAGGCGGAAATAGCGGGAAACGTTCATGCCAGAAAGAGGCACGATCTGTTCGCGTCTTCGTCGATTGAACGCTGGTCACGATCGTAACTGTCATGGCATTCCAATATAATCGTCACTTTCCAGATATAACGTAATCTCCGAACTGGTTTCATCCCGTGAGGCGACCAAGGCGAGAAAGAAGCTGCATAGTTATCAGCAGCTCGGCAACCAAAACAACTGTAATTTTTCGCGAAGCATCATTTTCACTTACAAGTAAAAAATATTATCGAAGAACATCGTTCTTATTACTTCTACAAACGCGCTGTGTAAGACTTCTTCGACAACCAGACGATCGTTCCTACATAAAAACGTGATCTGCGAGGTAAAATCGGAACACTTCCGGAAAAATTCGTGTCGTCGTAGGAGCTGGTCAAGGCCATCGACTCATTGAACATCCTTCCATGGCAACTACAAAGAAGAATCTGGAACGGTATAACCTGTCGTTCTACACATTGACGTACCAACTACGTTTTTAATGTATGGACTCGAAATAATTCGTATAAAAGACGGAATACGAACGATTGTTGATTTAGAAATTAAACGAACTTCTTTATAAATGGGATTTTGTTGAATGCGACGTACCGAACAAATTAAAGAGTCTCTGTTACGTCGAGCTTCAATTTCATCGGTGTTTACGACATTGGCGAATGTACTGAGCATAAAGTGTTACAGGTTATTGACGCGCGTGCAATTGCTCCTTTTATCAGAGATGTCCCTGATGCTTGTTTTGTAACGACAATGCTCTTTCGTGCTGCATTTTCAAATGTTAAACAGCAAATCCATAAACAGCGAAGGCATTTCCGTTTATGAAGTCAGAATCATAATACTGTACAACGTGATGAAATTAACCCGAATAAACGTACCGTTAGAGTGAAATCTTATACGTTCCTATTGCGACCCCTTTAGTTTACGTTTTGAACCCGCAGAGTCGGTATTTTGTATCGTTTACAATTTTATGTATTTTTATCGACGAATTCTTTGTTTCGTTCGATTTCAACCCGCAATCACGGATGTCGAAATATGACGACATTACCGCAGACGTATAGTTTCTACGACCGTTACATTAATTTCACAGTGAACAACGTGCGAAATNATTATTATTATATTATATTTTTATTACATTATATTATTATTACATTATATTATTATTATATTATTATTATATTATTATTTATATTTTCTGACATAATGCCCGACCGTTCTAGTTTTTCAATACGAACGCGATAATACGTTAACCCGTAACGATGCGTAAGCCTATTTGAAAATGAACTTTAATTTACATTAGAAAAAAGACGATAATTAACCCGTGCGTGCCACGCAATCGTTGTGCCAATGTGCGCGCAACGATACGAAGAAGACAAAGGCGGAAATAGCGGGAAACGTTCATGCCAGAAAGAGGCACGATCTGTTCGCGTCTTCGTCGATTGAACGCTGGTCACGATCGTAACTGTCATGGCATTCCAATATAATCGTCACTTTCCAGATATAACGTAATCTCCGAACTGGTTTCATCCCGTGAGGCGACCAAGGCGAGAAAGAAGCTGCATAGTTATCAGCAGCTCGGCAACCAAAACAACTGTAATTTTTCGCGAAGCATCATTTTCACTTACAAGTAAAAAATATTATCGAAGAACATCGTTCTTATTACTTCTACAAACGCGCTGTGTAAGACTTCTTCGACAACCAGACGATCGTTCCTACATAAAAACGTGATCTGCGAGGTAAAATCGGAACACTTCCGGAAAAATTCGTGTCGTCGTAGGAGCTGGTCAAGGCCATCGACTCATTGAACATCCTTCCATGGCAACTACAAAGAAGAATCTGGAACGGTATAACCTGTCGTTCTACACATTGACGTACCAACTACGTTTTTAATGTATGGACTCGAAATAATTCGTATAAAAGACGGAATACGAACGATTGTTGATTTAGAAATTAAACGAACTTCTTTATAAATGGGATTTTGTTGAATGCGACGTACCGAACAAATTAAAGAGTCTCTGTTACGTCGAGCTTCAATTTCATCGGTGTTTACGACATTGGCGAATGTACTGAGCATAAAGTGTTACAGGTTATTGACGCGCGTGCAATTGCTCCTTTTATCAGAGATGTCCCTGATGCTTGTTTTGTAACGACAATGCTCTTTCGTGCTGCATTTTCAAATGTTAAACAGCAAATCCATAAACAGCGAAGGCATTTCCGTTTATGAAGTCAGAATCATAATACTGTACAACGTGATGAAATTAACCCGAATAAACGTACCGTTAGAGTGAAATCTTATACGTTCCTATTGCGACCCCTTTAGTTTACGTTTTGAACCCGCAGAGTCGGTATTTTGTATCGTTTACAATTTTATGTATTTTTATCGACGAATTCTTTGTTTCGTTCGATTTCAACCCGCAATCACGGATGTCGAAATATGACGACATTACCGCAGACGTATAGTTTCTACGACCGTTACATTAATTTCACAGTGAACAACGTGCGAAATATTTCTTCGAAAATATAGAACTATTTGATTAGAGTACTGATACATATTCAACAGATGTCGCGTTTGCTGGTAATATAGAAAATTTTAAATTTTATTTATTTAATATTTATTTAATTTTCTTATATCTTAGACCGCCGCAACAGACTGTGAAGAAATTATTTCGTGAGAAAATTGTACCGCGTGTGTATAGAGCTCCTCTTGTACTCGTTGCACTCTATAATAATCACGAAAATATAAAGAAAAAAGCTTCTACTTACCTGTGAAGAATTATAAACAGCATTTTCTTCGGTACGTCGCGCCGCTTTGGAAAAAAGACAACAGCGTGGTTAACGATGCCACGAAAGTAAGGTTGGTAGGAGATATCGTGTTTGTTTTTGCGGGAGGCAGAGGTGTAACATAATAAACAGCTTCGTTGCTTAGTAGGATAGATGACATTTATTTCATTATTTTTATCATTATTACTTGCTACTTGAATGCTATACTCGTATAGGTTTCTATAATTATGTCGATAATTATGCGTGAATTTAAAGAATATGTGAGCTCGGCCGCAAGAGATGTACTGAATCGCGTCAGCACTACAATGATCGAATAAGTGAAAATAATTACAAAAACCAATTTTACGTTCACTTTTCAATGCAAACACTCGTCAAGGGATGAGGAAAGGACGGCGAGGGTAGTAGTAAATGGTATTACGGTGATGGTGATGTAGTGGCGGTGGTGGTAGTGATAATGACAGTGAGAGGAGAGGGGAGCAATGGCGGCTCATCGATTTCCTTTAATAACTACTTTCATCTTGTATGTCCTTCGATCTTGATTTACACGCGTTCGGAATTCTACCATATTCGATCGCTATTGAAATACTTTTACACCGTTCTTAATTTGAATATCCTTCTTTTTCTTTCATTTCGAACCACTATAATTTCTTGCCAACCCAACACTCTTACTTAATTAACCTAGTTTTACCTTACACGAAATCGTAATCGCATTTATAACGGTATCAACGCACACCGTAATTATTTCTTTTATTTCTCCTCGTTTTCTAGTAACGACGAGACGAACTCTCGTTTTTAAACAATGTACAAACATCTCTCTTTCTCCCTCTCTCGCTCTCTCTCTCTCTCTTTCTCTCTCGCGCTCGCTCTCTCTCTCTCTCTCTCTCTCTCTCTCCCTCTCTTTCGCTCTTTTGTATCTCAATGATCGTTTAAAAAAGTGTAAATACTATATACCGCTTTTTTCTCCGAAAGTATTTATCTTTTTGGTCTATCCTTCACGCAACCGTTCGTTCTACGTTTGGAATTTCTTTCATTAGAGGTTCGATCGAAACAATAATCGTTCGGAATTTTGTTACGAAAAAGTTTCCCTTCGTTTCGTTCCGTCACCGAATCACAATCGCGCGAAGGAGTATTCGAATAATAATAATAGATAATCGAAAAAAAGAAAAAAGAACATATACGAATTTTTCGCTCGTTGGAGAGTGGCTGGGATGAGCAGTTTAAATATACATACATTAAAGGTAAAACGCGTAACGTTATCGATAGTATCGAGGTTTCAAAGGGTTCCATTGAAAAATGTGTTCCGAGTTCGGGCACCGTGTGGACGCAACCAGAATTAAAAAAATGACCAGCATATTATTATTTCCGAACAATTAACAAGCAGAAATTCGAAACAAGTATATTAATCCTACGTTTGAATCGCGAGAGATCACGGCCAAAATCGAAAAAACATTTCCTGTCCTACCGTGGACGAGGACGATCGATACTATTGCGAACGCGTCGCGTGTGTAAGTCAGGAACATCGCGCGTTCCAACCTCGGTAATAAGTCGTCTAATTCAAATTGCACTCGACGCATCGGTTTGTACAAGTTACACATTTACATAATACGCCAAAATATCGTAGTATACACATGGTGCATGTACACGCCGCCATTTCCGGAATCGAGCATGGCCAGGAAACAAACAGCGATCAGAGGAGAAAAGAATATTACAGTTCGCAAGCTTTCCGTTAGAGCTCGAAAGGAACCAGAATTATCTCGCGTCTCGTAATCTCGTTCGGATCACATTAACGTCGCGTCCCCCAAGCTCCCGACGATCCGTTCTTTTACCCTCTTGTACTCTTTGGTTACGTTCACTCTGGTCCTCGCGTAATTTTTCATGCATTCCCACGCGGAATAATCAACGTGTGACACCCAACTTCGCACCAACTATAAATCAATTCTGTCCGTTTTCTTTTTTTGTTTTTTTTTTAAATGTTCCTGCGCCCGATATCGATGATTCTATATGCGATGAAAAATTTCAAACACAATTTTCCCTCGTTAGCGTTCCCGTTCCCGCCATTGTCCCCACCGTCCCGAATCGCCAGCCAATAAAAGGAAGTAACACTCCCCCCTTCCCAAAAAAAATCACGCCGACAAGGGAAAACTATACTCTGGTGTATCTGTGAAAGTCTCAGATTTGAACGTGAACGTAACGGACTCGGTATAATCGCTAAAAATAAAGAGAAAGAGATTATAGATTTGTCAAATACTGGCAGTTACGCATTCATAAAGTCCGTCCGCGACAACAATCAACGATTGTCCCGAATGAAGGATACGCCTAGCGTGTACTGTATGGATGCACACTGGCCAGATTAAGTCCTAGTTTCGTTTCCGAGATATATCGAGATACTGTTGTAGACGGGCTAACGTTAACCACAGGACGACACACCCCTTCTCCGAAGCATTTCTCTATATGATTCTAAACGTTTCTCGACACGTGCCTCGCTTATAGTACAATGTTTAACGTTATTCCGCTTCCACGCTGGTCGAGAGTTTTCCCTTGTTAACGCAGCACACCGTTCTTTGTGTCTTCGTCGCAGCACGAACGCGTCTACATCGTTACCAGCATTCCTCTGTTTACGGGCCACGCGACTACCGACCAATAGAGAATTAGCTACTATCCTGTGAACATCTTACCGCGTTCCCCGAACCACACGCGCGTCGCTGACAAGGGAAAACTGTATTACCGACTTTGTTTCGAAAACACCGAAACTCGGATTCCGGAGTACGCGACAGAGGTCTCGGGTACTCGGATCCACAGTTCGCTCTTTCCGGTCCCTAAATACATAACGATGCGGGGTTAAAACTGTTCGTCGAGGTCTTCACATTCTCCGCGGACACGGATAAAGCTAAACTGATTATCGTGTGCCTGCGAGTCAATGGAATTAAATCGAATGCTTACGTTCGTACTATGAAATCAGAGGATGTGTGTTTGAATCGCAAATTCCTTTAAATACTGTGCGCTTCTTTGTCGTTTTCATCCGACACCCGATCCTTGCGGCGCGGATCGGTTCGGACCGGTTCGGGGGAGATCGTAACCGCATTGAACGCAATAAACGCAATTAAAACGCATGAACAAATGCCCGTAAAAATCTTTCTTCTTCTTCTTCTTTTCTACCTACCCAACGGTTCGGATAGAACACGACGACTATCCTCCGTTTGTTTTTTTTCGTTTTTTTTTCGAAACGATTCTCCTCCGTTATCGAACCGAAACTTTTGCTATCGAGAACCGTTTCGGCGGAGAGTCATCGATGATCTCTCGTATCGTCGACGGGATATCGATATACCTCTCTATCGGAATGAAAACAAGCCCCCATACTTGTTGGAACGAGCACGGTACGCTCCATTAAGTACCGGTGAAGAATTTTTTGTCTCGACAGTTGGAAATTTTCCCTGAAAACAATTCGTCGCTTTCCGCTTTTCGATTCGTCTTATCACAGTCAGCATAGTTTTACAATTCGCTGCTTCGAAAGCGCGCCACGTGCACCGACGATCGAGGAAATCGATGAAACGTCGCGATCATTTTGTCCGTCGACATTGCGAACCACGCTCGTCGATATCGATGCCGTTATTTAATGATTCGCTGGAGAATGACGGAGTGTGGGCGGAGTCGGGGGGAGGGGAGGAGGGCGGGGCGGGATCGGGAAACCGAGAAGAAAGGAGGCGGAGGGAAGGGGGGCGGGGGGCAACAACTATCCTCGATAGAAAACATTACGTCGTACCGCTGAAGCAATGCTTTCCCTCTACTGTACAAAAAATAGAGCGTTTTCTTTGAACTTAGAGCCAATAAGGAAGCACTTACTTACTCAGGAAACAGAACTGAGAATCCTAAGCGAGTAGGAGAGACGAAGGAGCGTGGAAAGATGGCTAAAAGACGATCGCCATAATCGTGACAAAGAAAGAAACCACGGACGAATCTCGGATCTGCTCGCGTGCGTGACTTTATTAGGCTCGATTACGCGAATACTCGAGCCCCGTCACTCGTTACGTGTTAAACAAAGATAATCGATCAACGACAACCGGAACAAACACGTGGAACGATGATGTTCTATGAAACAGATTGAATGAACTTTTATACTTGAAAAATGGTCAACCCTTTCCGCTTGTCCGTATCCGAACAGGATGAACACCGATGAACGAGGCCCTCTTGCACCGCGCAAGTGGGGAAGGGGAAGGGGCAAAATCTACGAATCTTCTCTCTGCGTTATGTTATGTGAACTAAGATCGATCCCCTGTACCGTTGTTTTCCGTTTTTCTTGATTGTTTTTAAATATCGTTTTAAGTTCTCCGTTAGGATTCGCGCGCGTCCTTTTGAACACCTCGCTTTCAAAGTTGAGGAATAGGAGGGATGCGGGGCGGTGTGGTGGTGGTGGGGGGTACAAGTACAGTGTGAACTAGGTAAAAGGAAGATAGAGTAGGGGAGAGGATGATTGTTTCGCGACTCGCTTTCTCAGAAGGTTTAGTTTGGTCTCGGAGCACTACGACTCGCATAGAGTTACTGTATGAAATAATCGGGGTGATCAGAGTCCTTCTCAAACCTCTTCGCTTCTTCCTGCATGCTCTCCTTGATCTTGAGTATGGCGGCTGACTCGGTCTGATCCTGTGAATCAACCAACACCAGGCCGGTTACAAGTAAAAGGTTAGGCAAGACCACCATCAGGCGATACCTTGCCCATGTTTCTTTTCTGTTCCGCTTTCAGCGTGTTCACCAGCGAGCTGACGAAGGAACACGGCGACCGAAACAAGCGCTTTTCTTTCGTAGAGGAACCTAACCACGAATATATAGGCGGCATCGGCGTGATTACACAAGTCACACACCGGAAAACAAAGGACCGCGTTGCCAAAAAAAGAAAAGCGTGTTCTTATACGCTTTCGCACGGGAGAGAGGAAGTCTCTCGGCTGTTAACGGGAAGCGTAGCAAAATTACGCTTCGTGTTTTTACACACGACACGTTTGACAATTAACAATCGTTGATTATTGTCAGTTCAATTTGGGACTCGAGTGATGAATCGCGACGATATAACATTTCTTTACGAATCACAGGTTTCCTCCGTTAGCGTCGTGTTCTCACCCCCTTTCTATCCCGTGGGGCATCCAACGGCATTGCTCTTCGTTTTCTTCGGCCAGTAGAAAACAGTGTCGGCTACTCCATAGCGTTTCGCCGTGTTCCCCAACTGATTCAACGTTAACGAGGGAAAACTGTAGCGAGTGTAACTTTGCTCCGGTGAAAAATATATAGATTTGCAATTGAACAGACAATAATATTCGTTGGGGAACACCCTTCGGGGGGGTGGGGGGTTAAAAGAAAAAAAAACGCTCATCCGGATCGCGGAGTTTCCTTCTGAAAAAATTTCCTCCCGTTTCTCGAGACTACTCCTGGGGCTCGCGCGATCTGTCCTTAACCGTCTCGTATGCGAGAGACAGAGAGAGAGGGAATCCACGAAGAAAGACAACACACGCTCTCTGACTCTTGTGTATGCTTCTGTGTGCCCGGCGTGCAGCATCGCGACATACTCGGTGATCCGACGGCACAGCGTTTTATCGGCGGGAAACTTATCGTTAGCGGTGCGCGTCTGGGTCGAGAGATTCGCAACAGTCGGGTGAATTAGTCGAACGAATTGAGCGAATCTAGTCACAATGGAAAAGAGAGAGAGAGAGAGAAAGATAGAGAGAAAGAAAGGGAAGAAGGGGGAGAGAGAGAGAAATAAAGACAGAGAGAAAGGGCGAGGGAGAGAGAAAAATAGAGAGAGAGAAAAATAGAGAGAAAGGGAGAGGGAGAGAGAAAGATAGAGAGAGAGAGAAAGGAAGAGGGAGAGAAAAATAGAGAGAGAGGGAGAGAGAGAAATAGAGAGATGGAGAAAGGGAGAGAGAGAGGGAGCGAGAGAGAAATAGAGAGAGAGAGAGAGAGAGAGAGAGAGAGAAATAGAGAGAGGAGAAACAAACAAGAATGTTTTCTCCCCGAGTGTGGAATCGAACCCAGCAGCGCCTGCATCCCGTTCACGTCCGCGTTGGAATAGGAAGATAGTATGGCGCGCGGCAGAGGAAATTATGAGCAGTTCGCTGGTCCCGAACGAATCTGGGCAAGAAAACGCTGACGTGCTGCGTAAACTAAATCTCGTCTCGACGCAGCGCTTGATGATATGGTGCGCCGTCAAGGGGGGGCTGGGTGGGTGGGGGGCTGTGTTTTGGCTCGTCGACAACAAAACTTAGAACATCGGGATCGTGAAAGAACTAGGGAGAGAGAAACGATTCGATGGAGGAACCGCATCCACTACACTAAGTAATGTGGTTCTTCCATGTTCCCCCAGGGCGCTCTGACCCACAACACATGGACGTTATGTAAAAAAAAAAAGTGAAGCCCGTATCGACCAAAGAAAGAATCAACATGTACGAACAATAAATAAAAAAAAATAAACAACAAACAACACATACACACAGAAAAAAATATCATACAACAGATCTGTAACCAATGTATATATATTTATATATGTACACATATATATATATCGGTATATAGATCTGTATATGATATGTATATATAACGGACGATCGTTCTTGCGCATTGGCGCACGCGTGTGTGCTGTGCGTGCGCGCGCGCGCGCGCGCGCTCTCATTCTGTGTCTCCGGCCCATCCCCACACTGACGCACACCTCACCGAGCCGTTACGTCGATCGGGAAACAACTCTATTGTTTTTTTTATAGTTTAAGAAAATGCTTGTAAAACAGAGAAACTCGACGTGTCATCCCTTATGTGTTACATTTTTCCATTACAAAGACTTTTCCATTCTATTTTGTCCATATTACTTTAGTTTTCGTAATTTTTTTTTTTTTTTTTTTTACTTTTTGAATCTCGTTCAAATCAATCGTGTGTCTCGATACGATCTCGCAATCCACCAATCGCTTTGCGCTCACGCATCCATGTGCTACAGGTCAGTACAGGCTAGTACTATATACAGCTATCAGATTTCACCGGTTTTTCCGTTTCAATAGATCTCTTGCGTCTTTAATTATGTTACAGGAAACTTCGTTTAAAGCATTGCAAATCGATCATGATATATATATATGTATATATATATAACAGTATATCACACACATTGTGTTCCACAATATACTCCACGTTGCAATTGTATGT